GAGCTGGAGGTCTTCCCGCATCCAGGCCTGCAGTGTGCGGTGCACGGCTCGCAAGGACCCCAGGTGCTGGTCCCAGTACTCCTGCTCCATGCTGGCGGTCCGGAGCAGGCCGCGGGTGCGGGAGCATGTCCCAGGTGGGGTGGTGCACCCTGCACGAGCAGCTGGTGCAGCTGTAGAGAAAGAAGAGAAGTGGTCAGTTCTCCCTGGGGACGCAGAGGATGATGCCCAGCCCCCTCCCACACCCCGCAACGTGAGGGTGACCGTGTCCTGCACCGTCAGAGCCGCTGTGCTTGTACAGAGGCCATGGTCAGGATGTCTGGCTCTCCCCGGGACTGGGAGCTGCCCCAAGACCACACCCATGTCCCTGTGCCATGTATAGTGTGGCCGGGGCAGTGGGGAGGAGGGGTGATGTCCCCTGCCTCCATGTAGAGGGGACATGTGAAGGGAAAGCATCCTGCTGGGTCCCGCCCCGGGGTCGGGAGCATGTCAGGTCTCTTCGCACAAGCATGTGCCTATTGGGCCATAGCCCCTGGGTGTCACTCAGCTGGAGCCACCTGCCCAAGGGACGCATGGCGCATGCACAGGTGTCTGCGTGATCTGTGGAAGGCATGGCCCACGTGCGTGGTCTCTGGTCTCCCTCCCCTACTTACCTGGTACGGTCTCCCTGGATGACCCTGCCGACTCCGGTGCTGGGACATCCTGCGGTGACCCCTCTGGTGTGCCCGGGTCAGGGCCCTCCGGTCCCAGCTCACTGTCCCCCGGGCTGGCACGGACCACCCCACCCCCAAGAGTCGGTTGAGGGCAGGGAAGTAGGGGCAGGTGGCAGCCCATGCTGCGGCGCCGCCCCTGGCGGCCCTGGCGTACGCCTGATGCAGCTGCTTGACTTTCAGGCGCACCTGCTCCTGGGTGCACCTGTGTCCCTTTCGGGCCATGGCGGTTGCTATGCAGCCGTAGACAGTCGCGTTCCTCCTCCTAGTGCGGAGATCATGGAGATTGGCAGCCTGCCCCCAAACCTCAATGAGGTTCATGACCTCCACACTAGTTCAGGAGGGCGTCAGTCCAGGAGGCCGTGTGCTGTCTACAGCCCCTGGCTGGCTCCTGGGTGCTGGGGGACTGGGCAGGGGACACGTCACTGCCACTGGCTGCCTGGCTCATCCTGCGGCCACTGGGTCAGGGGCAGAGACTGCTGGCAGGGCTGTTTCTGCAAAGTGCTGTCTGGCCAGTCTACCCCTTTAAGGGCCTGGGGCTGGGGGAGAGGAGAGGAGTTTTCCTGGTTGTGCCCAGAGAGGCCACCAGGGGGAACTTGGGAAGGGCTAGCCTCCCACTAGTTCGAACTAAAGGGCTACACAGCCTTTAGTTCGAACTAGTAAGTTCAAACTAGGCGTTAGTCCTCGTGCAATGAGGTTTACCTAGTTCAAACTAAGCGCTCCGCTAGTTCGAATTAAGTTTGAACTAGCGGAGCGCTAGTGTAGCGCCTATCAAAGTTAATTCGAACTAACATCTGTTAGTTCGAATTAACTTTGTAGTGTAGACATACCCTGACTGGGATGATTTAGTTGGGTTTGGTGCTGTATTGAGCAGAGGGTTGGACTTGATGACCTCCTGAGGTCTCTTCCAACCCTAATATTCTATGATTCTATAAATCTGACAAGCCTGAAGCAAACTGAATTGTCATGCAGAAGAAGCTGATTTGAGAACAATCTTGAAACTTGATAGGTTGCTAAGACAAATAACTGAGATTTTGTGTAGAGCTAGAGGGAATTACTCAACAAAGTGTTGTTTTCCTGTAAAATGCCATTTTTCTCCAGAAGGTTTCCTCAGGTCTGACACCATGGGGCTGAAAAGTCAAGTGTAAATGTTCAGTCTTAGGCCATAGCCCAGGATCCAATATTCTGCCTTGCACATCTGAATCTGTTGATCCAGACTTTGACACTCACTGCCATGAGGGTATTTTTATAGTGTAGACATATGCTAAAAGAATTTGGGAAGCAGAGTGGCCACTGGAAAAGAATGACGAGGAAGTATTTATGTATGAGTCATTGATTAAAAGTCTCAGAGGGTAGCTGTGTTAATTTGTAGCTTGAAAAACAACACGCAGTCCTGTGCCGTCTTAGAGGCTAACATATATATAGAAGTGGGCAAAACCCACTTTTTCAGAATTATTGATTAGTCTTTACCCACTCAGACATTTGGAGATGACTAACATAGGTGTTTTGTGAATGGTTTATACACATACATATGTGTGTGGTGCATATTTGTTCTAATGTTAGTACAGGTTGAACCTCCGAAATCTGGGATTCTGTGGTCCGGCAACATCCGTAGTCCAGCGGGACCATGGATGTTCCTGGATCAGAGAAAACTGATGCCCAGCAGTGCAAACCCCATCCCTAGGGAGCCTCTGTCTGGCAGGGGAGAAACGGGCCATGCAGCTAGGGAGCTCCATCCTCGGGGAGCCTCAGCCAGCGGGACAGCAGCGGGACGGAGAGGCAAGCCCTCTCCCTGGTGGGGAATCCCCAGTTGGGTGCGGGAGAATGGGTCAGGTCCCCAGGGTGACATTCAAGGCAGGTCCAGGCTGGACAAGATACTGCATTTTAGACTTATGTTCTTACAGTAAGTGATGGGACAAAACCAGTTTATGCTGGGAGAGAAAAATTATAAGGCATCCAGCTACTTCAGCGTTCTGAAATACAAGTTGGTCAGCAGATGTCAAAAGTCTTTGTATCTGACAAGAAAGGGAATAGGCATTACCGAGTAATTGGAATGGGAAAGGAAAATGGTGGTGAGGGGGGCGAAACATTTCAGATGTTCTAAATTATACGGTAACAAAAGTAGCCCAGAGACTAGAGAGAGACTGCTATTGCTCTCTGCTCAAGATGGTATTAACTAGATTAGAATAGGGAAGCAAACCTTACTAGTTGATTTATCCTGCCATTAACCATAGAAGAATGAGTAGACCTTCATAGTTGATAGTCTGAACTCTGTACCAGGTCATATATCAGCTAAGGAGAACCATATGGGATTTGATTATTCTGCTGTGAATAAATTTGGATCATGCTGAGGTTATGTAGTGGGCACAGAGTGAACTCAGTCTCTTTGTCTCTGGGGATTTTTTTCTTTGGAAAGGAGAATATTTTCAAATATACAGTACAGTTTTGAAACAATTGCTGGGCCACTGGTTACTGTGATAGGGATCCCAGTTAATATCTGGACTGTATATAGAGAGAGTCTGCCAGACTCTATATATAGAAAGCATGCCAGAGAGTCTGATTTTTGGGGGTATCATTAGTCCCCCTTCAGGCTTGCTAACAGGGAGAGCAAAGAAGGCAAATGCTCCAGGATCTAGTGATTCAAAGGGGCGTGGGTCTTACAGCCACCACCATTGCAGCAGCTGCTGGAGTCCTGGGTGTTGTGCTGCAGAGCCCGGGCAGTGTGCTCCAATGGCACTAGCGTGGGATTGTCCGGGGCGGTGCTGAGGGCTGGTTTCCTCGACACCTTACTCTCTCCCTGAGGCCATGCCCATTCTGGGAGTGTGCACTCGCCCCCCCCCCCCTTCCCGCATCTTACCCCAGGGACCTGGTGAGTTTGCTGGTTTGCATGTTCTCTTTCTGACTGTATACATAATGGTACTAACCCAGAGCTCATAGCCAAGACCCCAAAGGATGAAGGATCTGTGCCTGAGGACTCAGGGTTCAAGCCCTATTGTTTTTGCAGTGTGGACATAGTCCCACTAGACTGGTGCTCTATGAGACTGCCAAAAGTATCCCATGATCCCCTGGGATCCATGTTCTAGACAGTATAGTTTGGTCATGTTTTCCCATGCTGCACCACGTATAAAGAGCTAGAGGAGCCATGTTGTAGCTGAGCACTAGCAAGTCTAAGATTTGGATGTAAATGCTGAGGCCCCATATTGGGAACCAGGTCTCAAGATTTCCTAATCTGGGGTTATACTGTAAGGGTAGATAACCAAGCCCTAGGTTAAGAAACCCAGGGTCTGCTAATTGGAGTTTTATTAACCCTGGGCTTACCTGCAGTGAGGACATATCTTCTGTGTACTACCTTGTTAGATCAAATGTGTACATATGTGATTATATGAAATATATGATTTGTAGCTCATGGATGTATTGCTCTAATCAAATGAGTCAGGCAATCCAAGTCACTGATTTTTAAAAGTAACTTGAAAGTGCTTCCTTGCCCCGGAGCTGAGCTCTGACAATATAGAACTAAACTTACACTGTTGAATATTGACTTAAGGGGGCTGTCATTTTTTCCCTGTGCCTGCAGAGTGACATACCTGAGGGGGTGATAAGAGTTTATGCTCCACTGCATTCAAAAGTTTCTATGGCAATTCAATTGAACAGTCAAACAAAAGCCAAAGACATCCTGGCTCGATTTCACTGTGAAAACAGGTGGGTAAAAGCAGGAGGACATCAGAACATTTTGTTTTTCTGGAGTAATATCTTCACAGTCACTAATGAATAGGCTGTCCCTTTTCAGAGGCCCATTGATTTTTTTTACACTGACAATAGTAATTATGGTAATGTCGGTCCATTAAAAAAATTCCAAAAATTGAATTCTGCTCTTCATATTCTACTTAAGAACCGGCACCTATGCAGAATCAATCTTGCTTTTTTCATGCCTATGTTGAAGCATATTTTTTTCTAGACAGAAGCTAGAAAGACTGCTATAAATATAAATACAAATGTTAATGTGTTTGTTGTTTCTGTACATGAATACCCATGGTATAATTTGTCAGAGGAAGAAGTCTGTTAGTCCCATTCCAAAAGTCCTTTAGCAAAGTCCTCTGGTGCTATTACATAGTTCTGCTCTTAAAAATAAATCTGGCATCAATTGCCTGCAGTAATCCTTTGTTGCATTGGTGATACAGGCTCATTAGGTACAGCCTCTATGATTACAGTTCTAATATGATAACAATTCTCTCAGTCATCATAATGTGACGTGGCAATTGTCCTTGTTACTCTGTTGATAGATTATAGTTTCTAAAACTAATCATAGAAACAGAGTGCAAGCTAAGAGATCAATTGGATGTGTGCATTCCATTGTTTTCAATGGCTCTTATGCACACATCTCTGAGGGTAGAATTGGCCAAAAGGCTTTGTGGAGGAGGAAACCATAAACAAACAACTGCATAGTCTGAGTTCTGCCAGTGTTTTGGTGTATTTGTTGCTCCAAACCATTTTTTTAGTCTTTTTTAAGGCCATGTTTATTAACAGAATAACCAGCCTACTAGCCAGGCGGGGCAAAGGGGGCAATTGCCCCAGGGGCCAGCGATACAAAAGGGCTCGGAGCTCCCCATGCCACTATGCGGCAGCAGCAGCCAGAGCCCCGGGCCTTTTTGTGTTGCTGTCAGAGTGCCGCGCACCAGGCAGCACTGAGGGCTTCTGGAGGAGGTGCTCTCTGGGAGGCGCTGTGGGCTACCTAGCCCCACCCTGCCCCTTGTGCCAAAGCCCCACCCCTTCTAGGGCACAGAGCAGGATCCCCACACACACCTTGCCCAGGGGCCTGGTGAAGCTGTTGGCCCTGCTGCCACCTGCCTGACATAACTATACCACTAGCCACAGAGAAACGTGTTCCTCCACTGATTTTCACCCAGTAGAGTCCTACTGAGTTTAGTGGAAATTGAACAGGGTAAATTGGTGCAGAATCTGGCCTGCTATAGGCCAGTGACTTCAACCCTTCCAGACTACTATACCCCTTTCAGGAGGCTGATTTGTCTTGAGTACCCCCGAGGTTTTGCCTCACATCAAAATGACTTGCTTATAAAATCGGACCGCAGCATACAAAGGTGTGAGAGCACGCTGTTACTGAAAAAATGCTGACTTGCCCATCTTTACCATATAATTGTAAAATAAATCAATTGGAATATAAATATTGTATTTACATTTCACTGTAGATTAGCTAGAGCACTATAAACGAGTCATTGGCATAAATTGGCAAGTTGCACAACCATAGGATTTAAAAGTTGGTAAATTTCACATTTTCAAATGCTCAAACCTGAAACTTCATAGTGTTGTAACCATGTGGTCTCGACTCAAAAGGAGATGGGGGGAAGAGGGGATCACAAACCTGTTACAGGAGGGTCGTGGGATTGCCTCCCTCACTTCTGTGCTGCCTTCAGAGATGGACTGTGAATGCAACAACTACCAAGCTTCCTGCTGCTGCACAAGGTTCCAAAAGGCAGGGGTGGGGCTGGTCTGGACCCCTCTCCTCCCACCACCAGAGCAGTTTTCAGGGGAGGGACAGGCCCTGTCCTGTCCTTATCCTGCCCAGTTGGAAGTAGGAAGTCCTATTTCATGGGGTGCTCCTAGGAACAAGGAGACATCAGACTTCATGGTCTGTGATGTATTTTTCATGGCCATAAAATTAGTAGGGCACTAATAATGCAACATGAGATTTTCATTTGTATTTACTTTGTTAGTGCTTTTTATGTAGCCTATTGTAAAACCAGGCAAATATCTAGATGAGCTGATGTGGACCCTCTGGAAGACATTTCTGTACCTCAAGGGGTATGTGTCCCCCTATTTGAGAACCACTACTATAGGCTATCGTTTATTCTGCTTCTCTAATATACTTTCTATTCTGCAACCCGTGCCTGCTGTTCAGGGCAAAAGCCAAAGCTCAAATTGAGCTTAAGGTTTGCCCTCCACCCAGAGCAGTGAGGCTAGGGCATTGTACCCCCTTGCCTGGGGCATTGGGGCTTGGATGGGCTCAGGCTTCAGCCCCCCTTCCTGATGTCATGAAATGAGTTTAATTGTCAGAAGGGAGTCACAGGGCAATGAACTTTGAGAACCCCTACTATATAGCAAAATGCAGGACAATGTAGCACTTTAAAGACTAACAAGATGGTTTATTAGATGATGAGCTTTCGTGGGCCAGACCCACTTCCTCAGATCAAATAGTGGAAGAAAGTAGTCACAACCATATATACCAAAGGATACAATTAAAAAAAAGAACAAATATGAAAAGGACAAATCACATTGCAGAACAGAAGGAGGAGGCGGGGGGGTGGGAAGGGGGAGGAAGGAAGGTAAGTGTCTGTGAATTGCTGATATTAAAGGTAGGGAGAGTGGGATGTTTGTGAGTTAATGGTATTACAGGTGATAATTGGGGAAACTGTCTTGATAATGGGTGAGAAAGTTCAAAGACTTGTTAAGTCCCTGGTGGTAAGTGTCGAATTTTAACATGAATGACAGTTCAGAGGATTCCCTTTCAAGTGCAGATGTAAAAGGTCTTTGTAGCAGAATGCAGGTGGCTAAGTCATTTAGAGAGTGTCCTTTCTGGTTAAAGTGGCAAGAAACTGTTTTCTCTTTGTGATCTTGTCTGATATCTGTTTTGTGGGCATTAATCCTTTGGCGAAGTGTCTGAGATGTTTGTCCAATGTACATAGCAGACGGACACTTTCGGCACATGATAGCATAGATTATATTTCTGGATGCGCAGGAATATGTGTTCTTGATCTTATAACTCACTTGGTTAGGTCCAATAATGGTATCAGCAGAATGAATATGTGGACAAAGCTGGCAACGGGGTCTGTTCTGCAATGTGATTTGTCCTTTTCATATTTGTTCATTTTTTTAATTGTATCCTTTGGTATATATGGTTGTGACTACTTTCTTCCACTATTTGATCTGAGGAGGTGGGTCTGGCCCACGAAAGCTCATCATCTAATAAACCATCTTGTTAGTCTTTAAAGTGCTACATTGTCCTGCATTTTGCATCAACTACCCCAGACTAACACGGCTACATTTCTATCACTATCCTACTATATAGGGCTACCAAGTTGGTTGAACTAAATGGACTGGACACCATTGCCAGAAATGGCATCCAGTCCCTCCAGTCCGAGAGAGCTGGCAGCCCCACAGTGCTGTAGATAACATTCTGTAGTGCTCAAAGAGGTATAACAACTTAGCTTCAGTGCATAAATCTGTCAGTACTGGAATGAGATATATAGAATTTTATATTTGGTTATGGTATAATGGTTATTTTCAATGTATGCAAATCATAGTAATACTATGAAAGACTAAAACGCTTTTTCTTCTCCATGCTAGCCATGCACCGTCAAAGAACACCAAAGTCCAGACCCAACGTTTATATGAAATTGGAGGAAATATAGGTAACCATTATTTTAAAAATTCACTTCTACATTTCTAATTCTTTTGAAATAACTTTACAGCATATACTGCGGTCCATCTGCAGCATGGAGGGCAAGATATAGGGTCTGATTCAAGGCCCAGTAGTCAATTGAAAGGTTCCTATTGACTTCAAGGGCTTCAGAGAAAGTTCAGTGACCAGTAAAGACATTGTTGCAGTACAAGTCAATGTTCCTGCCAAGCTCACCTGACCTGTTGCTTACTACACTGACACCTTCTTCATGCCTTCTTCCATGTAATCCACATCGTTCAGGCACCCTTCTTGCTTGCCAGCTAATGCCCTCTCTACATTTCAGTATTTTTTTTCCCTTGATACCTTTCAGTGAGACCCTCCTCAAATCTTGAGATAGAAACTGGGGGGGTTTCAACAACTGCCCACGTACTGATATTTACATAGATTGTAAGTTCCTTGAGGCAGGACTATATCCATGTTCTCTACAGTGCCGAGTAATCTTGGGAATAAATATAACCGTAACAATGGATTGAAATTAAATATAATCTTACCCCCAACAGGTCAAGAAACAAAGTTTTTAATTCAATATTATACCACCAAGTCCTTTTCCTTTCTTCCTTCCAATTAAAGGTTATTTTGGACTACGTTTTAAATCATTGCTTGGGCAGTTCATGCCTGGATGAGAGAATATCTGCACCATCAAGATTCTTTTTGATCAATGCCAGTGAAAAAAAATAGATACAGGTAGAAGGAAGGTTATTGGTTACAGTCCTAAAATGATCGATTCTTGCAGATTCATACACCTACAATTTATGTTCATGGCAGCAATATGGTCACTGGTTAGAGTGAAGCCACAGTGCTTGTGCATTGGGCCTATATCAGAGTGCAAGGAATTTTTCAGGAACACCAGCAAATGACCAGCAAGTGCCAGGCTAGAGAGAGAAGAGTGTAGTTCAGTTCAAGACTGACTGGGGAAGAGGCAGAAGCTCACTGAGGGGAATAAGCCCTAGTCTGACAGACAAGGCAGCCAGCAGGGAGTACCCACTGCCTCTTTGGCCAAGGAGGATTACAAAGGAGATCTAGGAGCTTTCAGAATCTGAGGTAACTGAGCAATTGAGCTCCCAGAGACATCGTGGGCCTTGCCCTCATCAACAAGCAGCTTCCCCACCCAAAGAAGCCTGCAGCAGTGGCAAGGTGCTTCCCAGGAGAGGACCCTACAGGAAGGAGTCTGCCTAGCAAACTAGACTGGAGGGGGCCATACCCCAAACTGAACAGTCTGGTAGGAAGTAGCCCAGGACAGTAGATTTTTGACTCCCTGCTAGCAGTAACTCCCCTTCTTCAGGAGGCTGATGTACACAGGATGTTGGGCTGGGAACTAAGGGTGTGTCTAGACTACATGGCTCTGGAGCCAAAGCCATGTAGATTAGTTTACTAGACATACCCAAATGAAGCGGCGATCTAAATAATCGCCGCTTCATTTAAATTAAAATGGCTGCTGCGCTGAGCCGATCAGCTGTTTGTCAGCTCAGCACGCTAGTCTGGACGCTCCGCGGTTGACATCAAAGGCATTTGTCAACCACCCAGTTATGCCTCGTGGGATGAGGTTTACCAGGGCGTCGACAAATGCCTTTGATGTTGACCACGGAGCGTCCAGACTAGCGCGCTGAGCCGACAAAAAGCTGATCAGCTCAGCGCGGCAGCCATTTTAATTTAAATGAAGTGGTGATTATTTAAATCGCCGCTTCATTTGGATATGTCTAGTAAACTAATCTACATGGCTCTGGCGCTCCTTAGCCAAGCAGGAGGGTTGTGAGACACGTGTTACTCACTAGACAGCACAGCCCTCCAAGCCACCTTACTGCATGCACATTCAAGTTGGAATTTGCACACACAAAAATCTGACTTGCTTCTGTGCAGTTTGGAAAATTGCTCAAGCACATGTCTGAAAATCTAGGTCTGTTGGATTTATTAACATGCCCTGAACAATATGTGAACACTTACTCTTAATATTTGTTGCAGGACTGCACTGTTTGGACCCAGATGCATACATGTTGGATGTTTACCGTGCAAATCCTCAAGCAGAGTGGGTGATAAAACCAAAGGCAAGTTGAAGCTGGCAAAACTTTCATAGGACAGTGATTTGGGGGAAAAAAGCTTAAAGGAGGGCCAGATGCTCTCAGGCTCAATAAGACCTTGCCACAGATGAAACCAAAGTATTTGTTATATAGATATATGAATTCCTGACAATGTACTTTACCATTGAGCCTTTCCAAACACAAATATGTCATGAGAGCTGTTACTCCAATAGATGGAACATCGCACAATATAATGCAACATTGACACTTCCACATGGATTATATCTGTGCCAGTTGATCAATAGACGTGATGAAGGAAGGAACAGAGGTACTTTAGAAACAACCTGTGGACAGGAGTATTTTTTTCACTTCTTGACTTGATTCTAAGAAAACACACTTTTTATAAACTGATGATAACACAATGACATCCTAGAATGTAATGACCAAGGTAATGCAAAGGCATTACTGTAGTATGCAAGAAGGGAAACATATCTATTAAACATGGCCTATGGGAGCTGGACTGGCAGCAGTGCCAAAATGTGTTTACGAGATAAACTCGAACCCTTCTGTCAAAAGCAAACCAGTTTCTAAAGGACAATGTACATTGTTACAATATTTATGCCGCTGACTCACTCCTCATTAGTAGCTGACATTGCGAGGGGAAAGAACTACTGTGTAAAGACAAACGTACTGTTTATGTATGTTGTACTGTATATGTTACCGTGATCAGCCTTCTGATATGGCTTTCTACAGTGTTGACCACATACCAATGTATTTGTAGCACTACTGCCTCACAAATTCCTGCTCCCTACACACATGTAAAAGTCATGGGGCTCTGAGCCAGAGATTAGGCAGAAAGTGGTATTTTCAGATTCTTCCCACTCCAGTTTTCATTGACTAGACATAGATTTAAAATATTTTCTGCATAGTATCTTAGTGTGTGTGCTGAAAGGTGCCAGTTACAGACATTGCCCTAGACTAATTGTTTTTCCTTGGTCTGTTTTAGTTTAATATGTCGGTAGTTTTTAATTCTGGGTGGCAGTGTTAAGAAGAAAGATCTTGCCTGACATTTGTGAACTGTAGCAGGCATTTTAGGCTTTCCTGTTCACAGAGGCAGATTAGAAGAGATTCTGCTGAGAAGTAAGATATATTATTATAGAACATTGCTACTGTGGTAGTGCCACAACTAAGTTGGCCCCACCTGTGGTAGGCCCTGTACAAACAAGTAATAAATAGCAAGCCCCTACTGCAATTTGCATATAATATATAAGGAGAGTTCATCAGCCAAAACCAATGGGCAGGCCGGAGATAGGGTTGGGGAAACAGTGTAACAAATTAATGTACTGGACTATGCCCATGTCTTAGCCAGTCAGTAGTTTTGTTCACAGTTCTCTGGCTGGCTAGACATTATAAAACTGTACTTGGTGTATGCAGAGACATATGCTTGCACATTTGCTAAGAAGAGATGTGTTGACATTCTAGAAATCAATTTTTTTTCCCCTTGAGCTGCAAACCCAGACAGTTAAAGATCATTCAGATTTAACAAGGGATATTTCTGACTTTGGAATAGTTACTGTATAATAAACTCATCTGTGGTAAGACCTGTATAATAATTTTGGAGGAGGGTTTCCCCCTCCATGAATTGACTACAGTAATATGGAGAGAAATAATCGTTCATAAGGTAGCCATGGATAACATCTGAAGTACTTTAATCTTGATGGAGCATCTAACTTGTGATGGCTTGCAATATTTGTGTAATTACTATTGTTATACATTTTGAAACCTTGCTTTAGGTTTCAAATGACTGTGTATCATGCCCTCCATTATACCAATGCAACCTTATTGGTGGAACTTAGTACAAAAAGCCAACCAGTGGAATATGGACTATGTAGCTTTTTTATTTGAGACTATAGGAGGCAATATTTGGTTTCCTTTCTTCAAGCTAAAGGTTAGGATAACATTTAACAACAGCATCATTCAGTACCCTCTTCTAAATTGAGCAAAATTGCTTTTCTTCAATTCCAGGGCAGAATACTGATCTCTGCTCAATTCTAGCTAGGCTAGTGCTAGTACAGCTATAATTAAAACAATGTATTTCTTGCTTTCACAACTCTTCATTTACATGTATTTGAGAGATGTAGGGCAGTGGTTTGGCAGGAAGTCTTTCAGCTCAAGTGCTCCTGTCCTGATTCTTATACTGGTTCCTTTGGGTCAAGTCACTTCATCTCTCTGCCATGGTCTTGACTATAAAATAGGGTTAATAACTAATTCTTATGCTGACCAGACTATTCAGATCAAATACTGCTTTCAGATGTGTGCATGGAACCCCGCAAATTGAACAGGAGTTGTAAGCATGTTATAGAAGTATAAACAGCTCCTAGGGTTCCTACAAAATCCTTTACTAAGTGGTATTATATCTATTACCATGGAAAACATTTCTGTGATTTCACAGAAATCCTGCACATCTTCTAAATAATTTAAAATGCAGAAACCAAGATACCACTTTCTAAAGTGTTTAACTTCCCCCACCTTATTCCCAAGCAGGTAGACTAAAGGCCTAGTCCATACTACCACGGGCTGTAAATGTAAGTTACGCAACATCACTAAGTGAATAACATAACTACAGCTCGGTGAATAACATAGCTGAAGCTGATGTACTTAAATCTACTTATCATGGGCTACGTCTACACTGGCAAGATTTTGCGCAAATACTTTTTACGCCAAGAGGTTTTGCGTTAAAGTATTTGCGCAAGAGAGCGTCTACACTGGCATGTGCTTTTGTGCAAGAGATGTGCTTTTGCACAAGAGATGCCCATTTTAGACATCAGGCTTTCTTTCACAAGAAATTCATGTTGCCTGTTTACACTGGCCTCTTGTGCAAGAACAGTTGCGCAATAGGGCTTATTCCTGAATGGGAGCATCATAGTTCTTGCGCAAGAAGCACTGATTTCATAGTTTTTGCACAAAATCATGCCAATGTAGACACAGCTATGGTGTTTCCACTGTGGTAAGTTGACAGCTGATTCTCTCCCATCACCTCCGCCTGTGCTTCTTGCTGTGGTGGAGTGCCTGAGTCAACGGGAGAGTGCTCAGCAGTCAATTCATCATGTCTGTACTATACGTGATAAATTCACTGCAGCTGGATGGATCACTGCCTGTCCATCCAGCAGGCCCTCTAGACACGCCCTTATGCTGTATGTAGATGCCTCAGGAAATCTAGATAAAATAAATATGCCTGTACTTTACATATAAAAGAAAGTTGCAAGGAATACCTTGGCCACCAACACCACCCTTTGCATAGAGACAGAGGAAAGCCAAATGTGATTTAAGTAAACCCATTCTTTGATACTAGTATGGCTACTTTTTAAATTATAACTGTCTGTTACTTTAATCCTTGCATAGCACATAAGTATAAGCAGTTGGACTAGATTCTATGAACAGTCTACAGACTGGTACTATAGGGCCAGAAATCTTGCTGTCATTGAAAACTTTTTATATATTAAAAAAAAATTTCCTGCGGGAAGACAGTGACCTGACGTTATCACGTCATTAGCGTTGCCCCACCCCCCGCCCATATTACGCTCCAGGCAGCCCCTCTCCCCTCCCCTCTCCCTGGTGTTCTTGGGAAGTAGAAGTTGGGAGCGGCATGCCCCCCTCCCCCACTGTGCTCTGGGGAGGCGGGAGATGTGCGGCCTTCCTCCTCCCTGGTGCTACGCGTGCCCCTGCACCCTGACCTTGCTCACTCTGGGGTGGGGGTGAATCCGTGCCTGGGAGGACTTTTAAATGTATCTGCAGCAGGGAGAGCTCAGGATATGAGCCCCCATTCCCTCAAGCCAAGACTGCACCCTCCCAACTCCCTTACACACCGCCCTGCAAAAACCTTGTACCCTCAACCCCCCACTCCCTCCACCGAGACCTCACACTCCCACCCTCCTCACTCGTACCCCTTTTCACCAAGACCCTGTACCGGGTGCCTGAGCTATGGTGCTAGGAGCTGCACAAAAGCAAGTAAGTGCCCCCCCCCCCCAAGCCAAGACTCCACACCCCCAGCCCACTCCTGCACCCTCACCCCCCAGCCAGACACCTACCCCCAAAGAGAAGGGGATTGGTGAGCCTAGCTCTTACACTCTCTGGCAGTGAAAGCTGCCAGAGAGAGGGAGGTTGGCAAGTGTAGCAAGCAGGGGGTGCAGCCCCTTAGTAAAATGGTAAAATTCCTATTGCCATGAAGGAGAGCAGGAACTAATTACCGAAATCACATTTATTGTAGTTGGTGGTGTATGCATAGTATGTTGCATAGTATGTTACATAGTATGTCACAAGATTTACACTGGCCACCTCGGCTAAGAGGAAAATAAATATTACAGCTAAAATGTTCAAACATGAAGTCTGGACATTAGGCCTACCATTTTGAAAGGTTGACTTCTGGATTTCTACTTTCACTAGCAGCAGTTTCATTGAACATTGGTCTAACATGTTTTATTAGGTAACAAAATTGTGCAGTGAAATATTAATAAGAGTGGATGTGTTCAGGAGTAGAACCTATACAACAACCCCCAGAGATGCCTTAAGTGTTCTCAAGCTCTGTGGGCTGCAAAAAATACATTTTCCACATCAACACACTAGCTATAGAGAAGTATGTAAGAAGTAGGTATTAGAAACATACTGGAACAATCCAATTCTTTTGCATATTGCTAATGTCTTTATAATGTGTATATATACACTGTAAACTACCTCACTGTATTTGCCAGGAAAAAAAAATCAGGCTTCTTCCAAAGCTTCCTTAATAGTAGCATCACCGATTTCTGCTTGCCTCACAGCCTTTGATTTGCTGTTTAACAGCGTTTCCTTTCAGTGGGCAAGATCTGGAAATCAGCTAGTTTTGAAAACCGAAATGACACATTTCTAGCTAAGGCACACCGGACATACTGCCTCACCCATTAATTGTATTTTCTGCTCATATTCAAAACTATTGTCGTGAATCATTGTGTGAGGGTTCAGTTTTCCATAATGTGTCATTCACTTGGAAAATAATATGATGCCATTAGTTGAAGCAAATGTTTGTATGTATGTTTTTTTTCCTTACTGTTCCCTGTTGACTGTTTTGTTACAATACATTTCATTCTCTGCATAGTAGTGTATTTGTAAAGTAGAACATGTACATTGTATTTTATCCATGCCAAAAATAAAAACAATGTATACTAACCCTCTCATAAAAATTCTTACTGCATGTTTAAGGACATGGTTAGCTGGAAAATGGGTGATTCAGGATTTGGGGAAATGAGTCAATTTTATTTTAAAAGCAGCCTCTTTGTGAGGGCACTTTTGGAACTATATGGAGAAAAATTGTACAAAAATAAAGGGCCTGATTCTGCCACCCTTTCTAAAATGCAGAAGTACTTCACTCTCCATGCCTGTCCCGTGGAGTAAGGAAGAAGCAGTTTGCCATGGTTAGCCTTGGAGATGGGAGAAAGGGACTGAGCATCTGCAGGCACAGAGCCCCACGGCTCCAAATGGCCACAGTTTGTTGTTCATGGCAAATGGGAGCTGCAGGCGAGGGGCAGGAAAGCTTTTTTGGGTTGGGGGAGCCACTGAGCCACAGAAAAATCAGTCAGGGGCCGCACACAAGTGAGCAGCAAAACCAAACATCAGAAAGCAAAAAACCCTCCCTGATATGGCCCCCAACTGAGGAGAAAGGCATTCCCAACTTCCTCCCACACCAGAGCCTAGGGGGGGCCCAGCCTAGATTTTGGGGCAGCAAGGGTTCTGGAGTGCCAATGTGGGCTCCCCAATGATGGGAGGAGGCCTGAGCCTTGAGGGCTGGATCCAGGCAAGCCAGGGGATGCATCTGGTCCCAAGGCCTGAGTTTCCCCACCCCTGCTCTAGGCAGGGGTGCGGGCAGGGACACCACTTCCCAAAGAGTTTCCAAGAGCCTGCTGTGCTCTTCAATGTGGGTTAGGATTCAGCACCTGGGTTAGGATGCAGAACCTTGTCTGTGCCCCCTTTCGCATGGGAAATGAGGTGGCTGGTTTGCCATGCACAGCATGGTGCACATTTCTCCACACCATTCAGTTGCTGTCTATGCACTGACTGATCCCGTGACATCTCACCCAATCTGTAACTCCCAGTCTGCACTTACTGGAATAAGTGGCCCAGTGTAGACACAGCCTTTCTGTATACTCACATTATTTGCTTAATATTGTCATAGTTATCCCATTAGCTTCCTGTGTCTTCTGCTGGATGCTGTTTTCTTGTATATTACACTTCATAGTAGCCAGTTCTTTTCTTAGAATTTAAAATGTACAACTATGTCACATGAAATAATGCACGTGCATTATTATTTTCATTTGTATGGTCCAATTTTATTTTATTATAAAAGACCAACATACAATAGAATGAAATACTACCAAGCAAACAGAACGTGCTTTGTAAACACTGATTACTAGTTTCCAAAAGAAAAATACCCAATTAAATCTGTGAACATTTTAGCAGAGGTATTGGTTGTTCAAAATGGTTTTAGTTCCAAAAATGTAAGTCTAGAACTTCTTCTAAAAATATTTGTCCTGAGTTGGAAAATAACTGAAAGAGACCTGAATTCTCACCCAACCCCCGACCTCCCCTGCGACCCCCATAATC